GCCAAGTGTCTAGGGGGGGGGGGGGGGGGGGGTGGCCAGTCCATTAGCCGAGGAGCTGGGGCCAGGCACCAGACCTTCACAGGCCCCTGGGGATTAGAGAAAGACCAACCCTTCCCCAACCCCCTCCGATGCCTGTCCTCCATTTCTCCCTGGGTGTGGTGAAGGAGGGGGTGGCTGACAGCAGGTGCAACAGAGCTGGGTCTTCAGGGGACAAGTTGAGGTACAAGCTCTGGGGCCTAAGTCAGGTCAAGTCTCCCTCCACCTGGGCTGCCTCTTCCCTACTCTTGTGCCCTTTAACCTCATTCCTCCCATGCCCCAATTTTTACCAGCTCTTTCAGGCAGGGACCCCAGATCAAGTTAGGCCTTTACCCTAGGCTCCAGCCTTGGCTGCTCGCTGGAAAGCACTGACTCCCACCCCTGGCCTGCCTGTGGTCGCCATCCCTGCTTCCTTTCTCTCCAGCAACAGGGGGGAATCAAGTCGGCCAGGCGCCAGCAACCAGGACTGGGTGGGTGCGGTGCTTCTGCTGCTCCGCAGGGTGGGGCGTCCCCCTCCCCACACAGCCCGGCCAGTCAGTGGGAGGAGCTGCCTGTGCACCCCCCAGCCCCACCCCGAGTCTGCGGTCCTATAAAGCCGCCAGGCAGCGGTCTGCGGCTTCTTCCCAGTCCTCGGCCTAGCTCTGCAAGAAGTGACTGTCCATCCTCAGCCGCCATGAGCCACTCGTCGGGCCTCCGGACTAGCATCAGCTCCACCTCGTACCGCCGCACCTTCGGACCACCGCCCTCGCTGTCCCCGGGAGCCTTCTCCTACTCGTCCAGCTCCCGCTTCTCTAGTAGCCGCCCGCTAGGCTCCGCGTCCCCGGGCTCCTCTGTGCGTTTGGGCAGCTTCCGCGGGCCGCGGGCAGGCGCGAGCGCCCTCCTGCGACTGCCCTCGGAGCGCCTCGACTTCTCCATGGCGGAGGCCCTGAACCAGGAGTTCCTGGCCACGCGCAGCAACGAGAAGCAGGAGCTGCAGGAGCTCAACGACCGGTTCGCCAACTTCATTGAGAAGGTGCGCTTCCTAGAGCAACAGAATGCGGCCCTGCGCGGGGAGCTGAGCCAGGCTCGGGGCCAGGAGCCGGCGCGCGCAGATCAGCTGTGCCAACAGGAGCTGCGCGAACTGCGGCGGGAGCTGGAACTGCTGGGCCGGGAGCGCGACCGGGTGCAGGTGGAGCGCGACGGGCTGACGGAGGACCTGGCGGCGTTAAAGCAGAGGTCAGGGTGCAGAGCCGTCGAGGCGGCTGCTAGGTGCTCCCCTCCCCCACCCTAGAAGCCTGAGGAGGTGGCGCCCCTACCGATCAGGGTGCGTGCAGGCAGCATCCTCGCCTGCAGACTCCAAGCCCTTCGTTGGTCTGAGTCCATGGGAAAAGGGAGTTTCTCTGCCACCCCTATGTATAAAGGCCACGCACCCCTTTTCATCTCCCATTCTGGTAGAGAAAATGGGGATAACTGAGTTCTGGACAGCAGCGGCCTCTGACCTGGATTCTGGAGGGTGCGGTCTGAGGCAAGAGCTGGGCGCTGCCCCCACAGCTCAGCCTCTGCCCATTCTTCCCGCCAGGTTGGAGGAGGAGACGCGCAAGCGGGAGGACGCTGAGCACAATCTGGTTCTGTTCCGTAAGGTGAGCCAGGGCCCCCACGTCGAGCTCCACCTCCCACTCGTACCCGCGCGCGTATCCAAGATGGCAGCTGTGGGCGCAGAGAGATGGCTAGACGCCACTAGAAGTAGACAGAAAGGGCCTGGCCTTTCCTCAGCTTGAACCCCTACTGTCACTCCATTGAAGGACGTAGACGATGCCACCCTGTCCCGCCTGGAGCTGGAGCGCAAGATTGAATCTCTGATGGATGAGATTGAGTTCCTCAAGAAGCTGCATGAGGAGGTGAGCAGGCTGTGGTGAACTCGGGTGTCAAAGAGGCTTCCGGGGGTGGCGTTGGTCTAGTTGGGACTGGGGAGACGAAGCTCTGGAGGAGGCTGTCAGGCAGAGTGGAGGAAATGCCCTGGGGATGAAAAGAGAGATTGGGTGGATGCCTCCAGTCAACCCGTGCTACAGGTGGTTTGACTCCCACCCATGCGCCACCTGGTGGCGAGCAGCGAAGCTGCACCCTCTAACCTATCAGTTTTACGCCAGCCGGTCGCGGTCTTGCGCGCATTGCACTCGTCTGCGCCCCCTTCTGTTCATTCGTGTGCACTTTTCTGTATGCGGATTGCGCGATGGGTGTGGGATCTGCGCTTGAGATCTGCTGGCCTCGTAGGAGCTGCGAGACGTTCAGGTAAGCTTGGAGAGCCAGCAAGTGCAGCAGGTGGAGGTGGAAGCAACCGTGAAGCCGGAGCTGACAGCGGCACTGAGGGACATCCGTGCGCAGTATGAGAACATTGCGGTGAAGAACCTGCAGGAGGCGGAGGAGTGGTACAAGTCCAAGGTACCAAAGCCCAAGAGCGCCTGGGAGGGTGGAGCCCCGGAGTACAGAGAGCGTACGTCCAGACCCGCTCACGTCCCGGGTCTCCCCCGCTCCGCAGTACGCGGACCTGTCCGACGCCGCCAACCGGAACCACGAGGCCTTGCGACAGGCCAAGCAAGAGATGAACGAGTCCCGACGCCAGATTCAGAGCCTGACGTGTGAGGTGGACGGGCTACGTGGCACCGTGAGTGGAAGCCTGCGCGCCCGGGCCGGGATGTAGGTGGTGAAGGCCGTGTCCCTACAGTCCTGACCCTCTGACCCCCCAGAACGAGGCGCTGCTCAGACAGCTGCGGGAGCTCGAGGAGCAGTTCGCCCTAGAGGCCGGCGGCTACCAGGCGGGCGCTGCGCGGCTTGAAGAAGAGCTGCGGCAACTAAAGGAGGAGATGGCGCGGCACCTGCGCGAGTACCAAGAGCTCCTCAACGTCAAGATGGCCCTGGATATCGAGATCGCCACCTACCGGAAGCTGCTGGAGGGCGAGGAGAGCCGGTGGGCGGGGCCGCTGGAAGGGGTAGGGGTTGGGGGGGGCAGAATAGAGCGAGGGGGTGCCTGGGCAGAGCCTCTGAGCAAGTACCTTCCCTCCAGGATCTCTGTACCGGTCCATTCCTTTGCTTCCTTAAATATAAAGACCACTGGTGAGTTACCTACGCTTGGCTTCCAACCTCTGCCTCCCCCTTGTCCACTTCTGTCCTGACTGGACTCTTGCTATGGCGCTTCTCAGGGATAGATTCTCTCTCGGGAACAACTGGGTCTTGGCCCACATGTCCCCCATGCCTCCTGCCCCACCCCTGCTCTCATAGACTAGAGTGGGAGGGTCGTCATATAAGGAGAGAGACCCCGGAGTGTGTCTGGGGGGAATCATATAAGGAGAGAGACCCCGAGCCTTTCTTCTTGGTCCCTAATCCTCCTTTCTCCAGTGCCTGAGGTGGAGCCCCTCCAGGACAGCCATGGCCGCAAGATGGTTCTGATTAAGACCATTGAGACCCGTAATGGGGAGGTGAGATGGGTTCCCCTGATCCGGATGCCTCATCATTTCTCATACTATTTCTGACGCCCAGCCTAGCTGCAGCTGATCACACAGGGCTGTGGCTGGGTGGTTTTTTGGGTGGGAGAGGATCATAGAGAAGATGGATGGAAAGATGGACGGGGGCCTCAAGTGGCTTTGCCAGGGAGGGGAAATCATGACCCAAGGTGCTGAATGCCTTGTGCCCTTTACATGCCCTGCCCCCAGCAGGTGGTGACAGAGTCCCATAAAGAGCAGCCCAGCGAGCTGGACAAGGCTTCTACTCACAGCTACTGAGCCCGTGGAACTGGAGCCCCCTGACCCTGCCCTAGGCAACTGGAAGCCCAAACCCCAACCCTAGTCCTTAATTATTAGTCTCCCCACCCTCTGCATGTATCTGGGGTGTAGCTCCTGTCACCCCTTTCCTGGCCAAGGACCAAGCCCCACCCAATCAGCAGTAGCTCTCTCCTGATGAATAGATGGGACCCATATATTTTCCTTTCCCTGTCCTGGAAAGAAGTCGGTGATTCCTCAGGACAAGTCCACCCTTGCCCAGGATCAGTGGGGGTGGCCAGAATCTGAGGTTCACTGTTGAATGAAATAAAACTACTGTCCAGAGAAACGCCTCCAGTGTGTCTGTCTCTGTGGGAAATGTGGGTGCCTGTGGGGAGAAGGCACTTTGTCTATAGTTGTGTATTTTCTGGCTCCCACTCTCTCAGCATCTGTGACTCCCCTATACCCTTCTGGCTTTTCTCTTACCTCTACTGCCTGTCAACCTCTGTCCCCACCTGCAGCCCTGAATGTCCACGTGCCTGTTGGGTGTCCCATAGGGCCCTCAAACAGCATGTGCAAAACAGAAGTCTTCACTTCTCTCTCCCTACCATCTGCAATCATGTTCCTTCTGGAGTCCCCATCCCAGAGCAAGGCACCACTATGGGTCCTGCTGTCGCAATTAGAACTCATTTTACCTTGTTTTTGTTAGCTGCCATCAAGTGGGTTCTGACTCTTTAACAGTCTCCTCTGTGTCAGGGTTGGACTGTGCTCCGTAGGATTTTCAATGGCTAATTTTTTTTAAGTAGATTGCCAGGCCTTTCTTCTCAGGCACCTCTGGGCCACATCATCTTACCCTTCTTTCTTTTCTTCACCTGCTTTCCAATCCTGTTCATTCTACTTCTTAACTCTCAAATCTGTCTGGTCTTCTCCACTCCTATTACCACCACCACCCAGTGCAGGCCACCATCATTTCTTGCCTGGGTTACATTATCTGCCTCCCTGGTCTCTTTTCCCTGTCACCCACCCAAATCTATTCCATGCACTTGGACAGGAAATCAGATTTTGCTATCACTATCCTTCCCCCTGCTTGAAAATGTCTATTCCATGCTGTCTCCTACCCCCATTCCATCATACCCTTGCCTTCAGGTCAAAATCCACTTCTGGTTTTTAAGATTCTTGTCTTCATTCGATTTTGGTGCTAGGTGCAGGGAATACAAAATAAACCACAGGCCCTGTCCTCAAGGAACTCCCAGTATTGGATAGAGAAGATAGACAAATGAGCAGAAAATTACCCCTCATGCTGAGTGCTGTAACTGGGATAAGTAGATGGTGTTGTGGGAACACAAAGAGAAGTACCTACCACAGCCTTGCAGAATAGAGATGGTTTCCCAAAGGAGGTAACACCACACTGAGCACTGAAGAAAGAGCAGTTGTTGTTCAGATGAAGCAGAAAGAGGAGGAAGACTTTCTAGGTGGAGGAATCAGCCAATAATAAAGAGCAAGTTTGAGGACTGAAAGTTGTTCCATACTGATGAAATAAGTAAGGGTGGTGTAGTGGCTAAGGCACTTGACTGCTAACCAGAAGGCTGGCAATTCAAACCACCAGTCACTCCTCAGAAGGAAGGTTGGTAATCTACTTCCATAGTGATACTCCTCAGAAACCCAAGGAGGGGCTGCTATGAGTTGGATCCGACTCAACAGCAGAGAGTAAGTAGTAGTAGTAGTAGTAGTAGTAGTAGTAGTAGTAGTAGTAGTAGTAGAGTGGAAGGAATGGCGTTGAGGCTGAAAAGATTTGAAGTAAGGGTCAGGTCATGGAAGGCCTTAGATGCCACATTAGGGCATTCAGAATTTATCCCAAGGAAAAGGGGAAGAAACTCAAGGATTTTATTCAAGGAGGTGAAGTACAATTCAGATCTGCAGTTTGGAATGATTTCTCTGGCTGTAGCATGCAGAAAGAATTTGAAGGAGGTGGGAGACCAGTTCAGAGGAGTTGCAGTGAAACATGCAAGAAGATGATGGTGGGCAGGGTAGTAGGAGAGAAGTGGATGGACTTAAAAATCTGCAGTACCTAAGCCTGGGAGCTCTGGTAGCATAGTGGCTAAGACACTTGCCTGCTAACCAGATGACTGGCGGTTCAAACCCACCAGCCACTCCTCGGAAGGAAGGTTGGGCAATCTACTTCCGCAGTGATCGGAAACCCACGGAGTCAGGTATGACTCGACAGCACATAACAACAACAACAACCTAAGCATAGACTGACAGTGTGCGGAAAAGAATTTGCAAAGATGACCCAAGTTTTTTGCTTGAACGACCAGATGGATGGTGGCACCTTTCACAGAAACAAGGAAGAATGGATTGGGGGAAGGACGGGAGCCCAAGACAACAAAGCCGATTTTAGACCTGCTGAGTGTGAGGTGATATAGAGTGTGATGATTAATGTTATGTGTCAACTTGACTAGGCTATGATTCTCAGTAGTTTGGCAGACACTATGTAATCACCTTCCATTTTGTGACCTGATGTGAGCAGCCAATCAGTGGAAAGAGGAGTTTTCTTGTAGGGTGGCCTGCTTCCAGTATACAAATGGATGTTCTGGCGAAACTCTCACACTGGACCCTATGCTCTTCTCATTACCTGACTGCTAGTTCTTTGGATGTAAGCCTGCAGAAGTCTTCAGCCTGCCATCTGACCTGAAGATTTTGGATTCACCAGCCCCAGCATACCAGTGAGCTAACTGATGCCTCCAGCCTGCCACCTGACCTACAGATTTGGGACTTGCCAGCCCCCACAATTGTGTGGGCCCTTTCCTTGAAGTAAACCTCTCTGTCTGTTTACGTATATGCTTCACTGGCTTGCTCCTCTAGAGAATCCAGACTAAGACATGGAACGTCCAAGAGCAAGGGCTGGTGGGCAATTGGATGCACAGTTCAGGTCTGATGGGATGATATTTTGCAATATTAAATCTACTAAGATGATTTCTGGTACAAGTGACAGATAATCCCTCTAAAGAAAAATCTTAAGGAAATAAAATGATCTAATATAATAAGGAGCCCATAGGTAGAGTGATTTTTGAGGTTGGTGGATTCAGTAGTTCCATGATATCATCAAGGACCAGGGCTCTGTCCCTGGCTCTGCTCAGCTTTCCTCCTTGGAGGGAAGCTTTGCCCTCAGAATGGTTCTCCATGTGAACTGAAGATGGCTGTCATCAGTTTCCCTGTCTATATCTAGTGAAGGTAAGACAGAAACCTCATCCCAGGTATAAGATACAGGTCCTTTCCTTTAAGCTGTCTGGCTAATGTAGTTGGTGAGTCCACTCTTGGCCCAATAACAATTCCTAGGGGAAATTCACAGGTTGGCTTGAGTATTGAACTGGTATGGATAGATGTTGAGAATCAACCCCAATTTCCTCTATGGATATTAGTTCAGGCTCTTCACCATCATCACCCCCTATGAGTACACATATATTTACATTCTTTATATCTCTATTCTCCCTCCCTTTCATTCAATGGCACTTACTACCTGTTCTGGTTACCTAGTGCCGCTCTGACAAGAAATATACCACAAATGGAATGGCCTTAACAAACAGGAATTTATTCTTACAATTTGGAGGCTTTAAGTCCTAGTTCAAGTGCCAGGCTCCAGGGACTGGGTGAAAGCCCCTCAACCTTGAGGTCTAGCCCTGCCTCCTGCTCCTGGCCCACTGAAGCTAGAGGCATTTCTTCACTCAGACAGCTGCTGGCTGCAGAGACTGAAAAGCCCAAGGTTGACAAATAAAACGGCACAGTCCCAATGTTACCAAGCCACACAATAGGTCACTAATTCAAGTCCATTGTAACTCCCAAAGTTGGCAGAGTATGGCGGGCTGCTCAATAATGACACAGCTACATGCAG